CTCCCTGAGTGCTGGGATCCCTGAGATCGCAAACCTCAGCCTCACACAGTAAATCTGTGTGACAAACCTGCACATGTACCCCCTGAATCTAAAATAAAAGTTGGGAAGAAAAGAACTGGGGAGAGAGGCTGATGCACTGACATACATTTCTGCAGAGGGCGCCAAAGGCCAGGCAGCCCCAATTTTTAACAAAGTTGAGATCTGGGGGTTTTCTTGTTCTTTAGCTCCACAAGAGCGGGTACGTGTAACTCTTTTTTTTTTTCTTTGTTTTCTCTCTCCCTCCTCTCTCTCATGCTCTGTTGTTTTTTCTTTTTTCTGCTTTTTCTTAAGTGTTTTCTTTCTTTTTTTAACTTGATATAAAATTTACATAATATCAAGTTGACCTTTTTTGTTGTTGTTTTTGAGACGGAGTCTCACTCTGTCATCCAGGCTGGAGTGCAGTGGCACAATCTCAGCTCACTGCCACCTCTGCTTCCCGGGTTCAAGCGATTCTCCTGCCTCAGCCTCCTGAGTAGCCGGGATGACAGGTGCACACCATCACACTCAGCTAATTTTTGTGTTTTTAGTAGAGACAGGGTTTCACCATGTTGGTCAGGCTGGTCTTGAACTCCTGACCTCATGATCCGCCCACCTTGGCCTCTCAAAGTGCTGGGATTACAGGTGTGCGCCACCGCACTGGGCCAAAATTGACCATTTTAAAGTATACCATTTTAAGGTATAAGTACGTTCCCAGCGTTTTGCAAACACCATCTCTATCTAGTTCCAAAATATTTTCATCACTCTAAAGGAGTTTCGCTCTTGTTACCCAGGCTGGAGTGCAGTGGCGCGATCTCAGCTCACCGCAACCTCGGCCTCCTGGGTTCAGGCAATTCTCCTGCCTCAGCCTCCCGAGTAGCTGGGATTACAGGCACGCGCCACCATGCCCAGCTAATTTTTTGTATTTTTTTAGTAGAGACGGGGTTTCACCGTGTTGACCAGGATGGTCTCGATCTCTTGACCTCGTGATCCACCTGCCTCGGCCTCCCAAAGTGCTGGGATTACAGGCTTGAGCCACCCGGCCTGGCAACCCTGAAAATATTAAACAGTTGTTCCTCATGTCCATTTCCACCTCCCCCGTCTCTTCAGCTCCCAACAACCACAGTTTTATTCCTGTCCCTGCATTCACCTGTCTGGTCATTTCACATGAATGGAATTACGCAGTGTGTGACCTCCTGTCTTCTCCTTGCCTTTGAACTTTAAACATTGCACCTGACGTGGGTTAGGCTGCACGTGTCTGCAGGAGCCCTGGCTGCCCACCGGAGAGGCTCTGGGCCACATGTGGGCTCGTGCACAGAAGGACCACCGTGTCAGGTGACCCACCCATGGGCTGAAAGCCCACACCTCCAGGACACCTTTCTCCTCCATCGCTTCTCCCAGTGCCTGTGACAGTCTTTGTCCGACAGCAGGCATCACAGCCGCTCTCAGCACCGTGTGACTGGGCATCCTAGCAGCTCTCTCTAGGTTGCTCAAGCCCGAGTCCTCCTTCCCAGTCATCACAAGTGTACCTCGGCGCAGCGCGGAGGCTCACGCCAGTAACCATAGCACTTTGATAAGCTGAGTTGGGAGGATCGCTTGAGCCCAGGAGTTCGAGACCAGCCTGGGAAACATAGCCAGACTTTATCTCTACCAAAAGTACCAGAAATTTAGCCAGGCGTGATGGTGCACCTGTGGTCCCGGCCACTTGGGAGGCTGAGATGAGATGATCGCTTGATTCCAGGAGATGAAGGGTGCAGTGAGCCGAGATCACACCACTGCACTCCAGCCTGGGTGACAGAGGGAGATGCTGACTTTAACAATATACATATGTTTTTTCTTGTTTTGAGACAGAGTCTTGTTCTGTCACCAGGCTGGAGTGCAACGGCGCGATGGCTCACTGCAACCTCCACCTCCCTGGTTCAAGTGATTCCCCTGCCTCAGCTTCCCGAGTAGCTGGGATTACAGGCTCAAACCACCATGTCCGGCTAATTGTTTTTTGTATTTTTATTACAGATGGGGTTTCACCATGTTGGCCAGACTGGTCTCGAACTCCTGACCTCAGGCAACCCACCCAGCTTGGCCTCTCAAAGTGCTGGGGTTACAGGCATCAGCCACCGCGCCCAGCCAATTAATTTTTTAAAACGGACAAGTGATTGGAGTTTTAGGTCATAGTCTGGTAAAAGGAGATCACAGGATGACATAATTCTTACGTGTGGACATATAAAAGGGGAACAGCCTCTCTTCCTTTCTCCGCCATCGTGGTGTGTGCATTACTCCGTTTCTCGCCATGTCTTCTCACAAGATTTTCAGGATTAAGCGATTCCTGGCCAAGAAACAAAAGCAAAATCGTCCCATTCCCCAGTGGATTCGGATGAAAACTGGTAATAAAATCAGGTACAACTCCAAAAGGAGACACTGGAGAAGAACCGAGCTTGGTCTGTAAGAAATTACACATGTGATGGCACACATATTTATGCTGTCTGTAGGTCACAGTCGTGTTACCAAATCAAGCTGAAAAATGTCACCGCCATCTGGAGAAGAAGTTTGAACAGTTTCCTTTCTGTATCTGTTATGAAGGCATTAGTACAACGCACAATGCTTCCATTATTCATGTTAAAAAAAAAACAAAAAACAAGGTTTAGGTTGCCTGGGTTCAGTAATAAATATGTGAGACCTTTC